ACGTATTTTCAAGAATAAATACTTGTCGCGAAGTAAGTTATTAATGATACACCAATCAAAAAAAAGTTCGTGCAATTCGGGACAGATTAATGTGTTAAACAGTGTTGCTTACCGACCATAATAATGTAATAGTAAATTATATTAACAATGATTAAGACGTGTCGTTTGGTAATTTTTTAGTACTAAATAATACTTTAATTATCATTACTCGACGCTTAACTCACTAAATATTAATGTTTTGATTTCCTTAATAAGTGACAAATATTTTGTTTTATAATTTTACTTACCTTGTCTTGTACATAGTATTTTTAAAAATTATGTCTTAGTATTGAAACGTTATGCATGAGCTTACATAATTACATAAACGAGTCATGACATTGTATGTATAACGTACATTAAAAAAAAAAAGAAGCGTACAAAAGGCAACAAACCAACAAAATATTTTTAATACAAAAATCTAACGTATAAAAATTGTGCAGGCGAAAAAAAAAAAAAAAAAAATCATCAGTGAGATTCGAAAGCTATCAAGTTTGGCTGAGACAAAAGACTTTGCCCGTGCGGCTATCGTCGATTGACTCTTACTTGACAAGATGTCATATTTAAGTTGTGAGAAGTGAGCGGGGCTTAGGTTAAAGGTCTGGGTAGGGGAGCTCTCCCGCTCCAGCTTGCTCTATGGAGAGAGGGTGATTGCGCACTGCGCATGTGGCGAACTCCCGAAAATCTGGAAGCCTTGCTACTGGTGGGCACCTCTCTTTAATTGATTTTTGCAAATGCTCCTCCATTGAAGTGCCAAACGTGTCAATTTGTTTGTTTCTAGTCTGATCATAAATGTCAGATAAATGGTACTAGTTTGACTGAAACAATATTCTGTGTTATCTGAAAGACCTCCAGGCTCAGCTTTTCAGCAATAAAGTTAACTTTGGTTATAAAGTAATCTTCTGCACATTAGCTGAGTGCCCTCTCTACTCTGCTATCAGTGACCCCTATTATAAATTAACATATTTTTCCTTGTTCTAGTGGAGTTAGTAACTTATCTCTAATTTTGACATTTATTTACTTTTCATTAATTAGATTTAATTATGCACTATATTAATTAATAAACTATTTATTTTATTAACTACTTTTTTTAGATGCTTCGATGGCTTAGTGGTCAGCATGCTAGCCCCTAGCCGGAGATACTCAAGGGGTCGTGGGTTGGAATCATGTCGAAATTTATCGAGATATTTTTCTCGGGCTTTGTCGATGGGATGAATATCCATGATGCTTAAAATCACTTATCCGATTTTTATAACTAATAGTCGATTTTTCTGGTGATGTCTCCACCTCCAGGGCCTTCCTTTTCGGAGGAAAAGCCAACACCTGGCCAACTCACCGAGTAAAGTCTCTGTTGATTATAAAATGATCGGTACAGCTTCCTAGATGGCTTATTGGGAAATAATTTTTCATTAAACTTGATTATAGCTGGGGTTTAATTAGACAATCGCTGCGCCCTGTAAATAATACCCAGTACGATAAATGATCGAGTCGTCTGAGGGGAACTTTGCAAGAGATCCACACGAAAGACTCGCACACTGTGCGGTTAAGGCGAAAAGTTTAAAGCAAAAAATGTATCTGATATGGCAAAAGCTGAAAAGAGTCATGGAAAACAAATCACCAACTATTTTTTTATAAAATTAAATAGTTCTGATTAAATAAATCAATTATGTATCAACAATTTATGGTTAAACTAAATTCAGTTTTTTACTATTTTAATTTTGATGCTGAAAATCTTTAATTGATAGAATACCATCAGGAGATTGGTATATTAAAGTTTTTAACAAGTAACAATTTCATAACATGTATACAAAGCTATTACGTTAAAACTTAGTTTTGTTAAAAAAATTGAAGTCATTAAAAATGTTCTATAATGGTTTAAAAGAACTTTTTTTAACATCAAAGTTTTTTTTATAAAATAATAATACATTATGTCATGTATTATTATTAAATAATAAATTGATGACTAACAGAATAACTTTCAAGTAAATGTGGAAAGTCATGTCTATATATTGCGTACGTTACAATTTTTAGTTAACGTTCATTTATTTATATTCAATACCTTTCCAAACAATATTTTTAATTTGCGAATTATCGCTTTCTACTTATATAAATATTTTATTTATATTTTTGCAACTTGATAAAGCTATACATAATTGGCTGTAAAAGAACACTAGATTTCTTAAGTACAAACCAACGTTATCAAATTTGACCTTAAGATTTATTGATAGTCATAGCAAATGCCGTAACTGTTGACCATTACTTTCGATATAAAATAAAAGGTAGTGAAGATGTGTTTCCAGATTTAAAGTTATTATTAAGATCAAAACTTCAGGTCTAATTTTGTTCAAGTTATTGTTTCTTCTTCTACGTTGTATTTCTAATAAGAGTTACTATTGCACATATTTTTAAACTGAGTTCATGAAGTGGTGAACTTACGGATACTTTTAGCATATCTATTGAAAAATTTATTTAAATATTGTTGTCTGACTTAGTAACCCCTTTGTACATTGCGTGATATTTACTGTGAAAAGTTTCAGTTTCTTTTATTTAAGAAACTGGTATACTCATTATGTAATGTAAGTATAACTTTATTAACCAAAAAACTATTTAAATCGCCAAATATTTTAGAATGTACATTATTTGATATGCATTTTTTATTATAAGGCAACGGTTACATAGAGTAAAAATAACCAGCGGAACGTCACAGCAGAAAGCGGAAAGAGTCCCCCACTATTATTTTAAAGCGTAACGCATTCCGCTTCCGCTGGGAAAAATGTCCATCGTGCACATGGAGTGTAATAAAGCGGAAAGTAACGGCGGAAGCCGATTAAATAATGATATAACTTTACTCTTTGATTATTTTTACAGTTTTCATGTGTCTAAGCATTATCATGGCTACGATAGTGATGTTTCTATTGCCATGTATCATAGGGAATTAATGATAAATCATTTTAAATGCTTAACATTGCATGTGTGCCGCTGAAAAGCTATACCTCCATTGGTTGCTTACATGATGCGAATTTTATTTCGTTTTATTTTATTTTAGGTATACTTACCCAGTCTTGGTGCTGTGTGTTAAGTTGAGCAGAAGTAGTCGTCCTTATTTACCCAACCTCAATGCAATAGAGTCCACCCGAAGTCCCCTACCGCGAGTTACTCGACGAAGTTTACTTAGTTGACAATAAATTGCATTCGTGACAGCAAGTAACGACGTTGGGGATAGTAGCCTTCGTGGTGAGCGGCCGTTTCATTTATAAACCAGATGTCTATTAAAGTTAATTTACCTCATATTAATATTACGTTGTGTTGTTCTCTTTAATTGCCTTGGGTAGCGCTATCTGCGGCTGCAGGGAAGTACTGACTTGGTGAGTGTTTTTGATTAAAAAAGGCTATTTAATCTTAATAGCTGTACGCTGCCACAAATTTCTGCTGTTCGAGCTGTGCAAGAGCCATTGTATACCACTCCCTATCTCGATAAATAAGAAATAAAAATAATAGTACACGTTAGCTGTAATTTCCGGCTAACGTGTCACAAGTTATTAAAACGTGTACATGAGGTAGACCACGTTCTTGACATTTAATTTAGATGTTTACCAACACTTTAACAAAAATATAATTTTAATCTTCAATCGATAGGAATTTAAAATGAGATAATCTAAGTGTAATACTTACAGTATTGTTTAGTGTCATGTTTTTTTGTTTAGTGTTACGATAAAACTTACATGTCACTATCATAAATAATTCTGGTCCACCACATTTTCTCATTATAGCTATTGTATCCTGATAGTGCTTTTGTAGATATCTTCGATGTCCGATAGATTTAGATGGTAGTATTGCAAAATTTTAAATTTTTTCCCTTTGTTTTAGGATTTTTAGAAATATTAGATTTTCTATTAGTAATTGCATGTAGTAACCTTTCATGGAATTTATTTTCAAAACTTTCACCACTATATCTCAGATGGTTGGAACGGATGTATTTAATTACGATTTAAGAATGTATAAACAATTTTTAAGTCAATCTTTCCGTGTATCATAATGGTCTAAAATTCTTCCAATCTGATCTGTAAAAGAATATGCATTGATAGTATTGAAACATAGTAAATTTTTCATTTTTTTAGCTATTAGATTTTTTTTTATAATCTTTCTCGAAGTTTTATTAGTTTTAATTATGCACTATATTAATTAATAAACTATTTATTTTATTAACTACTTTTTTTAGATGCTTCGATGGCTTAGTGGTCAGCATGCTAGCCCCTAGCCGGAGATACTCAAGGGGTCGTGGGTTGGAATCATGTCGAAATTTATCGAGATATTTTTCTCGGGCTTTGTCGATGGGATGAATATCCATGATGCTTAAAATCACTTATCCGATTTTTATAACTAATAGTCGATTTTTCTGGTGATGTCTCCACCTCCAGGGCCTTCCTTTTCGGAGGAAAAGCCAACACCTGGCCAACTCACCGAGTAAAGTCTCTGTTGATTATAAAATGATCGGTACAGCTTCCTAGATGGCTTATTGGGAAATAATTTTTCATTAAACTTGATTATAGCTGGGGTTTAATTAGACAATCGCTGCGCCCTGTAAATAATACCCAGTACGATAAATGATCGAGTCGTCTGAGGGGAACTTTGCAAGAGATCCACACGAAAGACTCGCACACTGTGCGGTTAAGGCGAAAAGTTTAAAGCAAAAAATGTATCTGATATGGCAAAAGCTGAAAAGAGTCATGGAAAACAAATCACCAACTATTTTTTTATAAAATNAAGTAGGATAAATAAAGGGTTAATAAGGTAAACAAATTGTGTTGATTAGTACACAGTTATGAATTAAAAGTTTAAAATGCCGAAATAATGGTAAAACATAATCTGAAATTTTTATGAAAATATCTCAATCGTTTTCTACGGAAAAAATCCTATTTCCTAGGTATTTTTAAGATTTTTTGTTTTTCACATTTATATTACAGCAAAATTGACAAGGTTGTGGTCCAAAAAAAATGCCAATTTTCTGACCATCACCGACAGCTTCTATGTAGGTCATAACTTCTAAAAAAATTTAGGGTATTGTTTGCTTATGTAGTATTGCCCATAGCCAAAGTCGTCAATTGATCAAGGTCGAAGCGGGTCCAGTGGTGGGCCAAATGGGCAGCGAGTCGACTAAAAGCCTTGCTGATAGGTCCTGTATATGGGAGTTGCTTGTAGCCGACGTTGGGGAGAGGCTTGGGGATCTTCCTTGAATGATGTTTGGAGGCCTAGGAGCACCGGAGGTAGTGTATCAGGCCATGGGATGTCTGGACAACACATGAGACCGACCTTAAGAGAGCGATGAGAACTTTCTACCATCTCGTTTGATTTCGGGTGGTAAGGTGTCGTCCTTATACGGCTTGAGCCTGTCGTTTTGGCGAGCTTGGTAACTAGCGCTGACTTAAACGAGGTTCTCTTGGTTGAGATGCTGGTAAGGGGCGTTCCGAAGCAGGCAATTAAGTTTTCGTACAGGGTCTTGGCGCTGTAATTAGCCTTGAATTGAGAAAACTTTCTCGGAAAGAAACCGAGTGTTCTCCAGGTGCCATGTGGGTATTCTTGCTCCAGGTCAGCACCGATTGCTATATCCGACGCGCCTGTCCTCAAGGCAATTGGAGCGTGTGGCCTGAGAAAGGTAGTTGTAGCTGCGTCAGCGCGTCTTTGCACTGCTAGAATGCAAGATCAGCCTAGCAGTTCCAAGCTAGTAAGGCCTTTCTACTTTTGGACAGAAGGTTCTTCAGCAGGTAGTTGAGCGGAACCATAGCGTTGGCTACTCCAGGCATGCAGTGCCTGTAGAAACTCACCATGCCCACGAATCGTTGAAGCTCAGATAAGTTCTCCGGTTTTGGGAAGTCCTGGATCTTGTGCGCTGGAGGGTGTACATCATCAGCAGAGACAGTGTAACCTAAGTAGTCCACTTGGTGGTCTCCAAGTACGCACTTTCACAACACGTTCATGGTCCGCTGGAGTGATTGGGCGGCATTTCGTTGACCCATAGAGGACTTCGTGAACTCGTGGAGCCCAAACGACGTCGTTATGGCTGTCTTAAAGATAGACCTCCTGGAGCAGATCATCGACAATCAGCAGGGGGAAGTGGTCCGAGGTGGTACTGGCGTTAAGGCGCAGGAAGTTCTCTGTGACTTTCCAGCCTCCCCTGGACTTCTTAACTGTCACAAATCTGTTAAAGGTTGCTCTCTCTTGCTCTCGAAGCACTTTTCCATCGTACAGCCCACGGCACTGCTTACCACGACAAAGTATTCTAGCAAAATCGCCCTTTGGGGTTGAAGTACAGCTAGGTAGCTTTTTCCCGGTTCTCAAGGAAACTAGAGGTGCGAAGCAGGTCGTAGAATGAACAACAAATATGAACGCAATGAGTATAAACTTACATTTTTTACTAAGTGTGAAGGAAAAGAATTTACCGATTCGTTAGCCAACGAGGCGTGTGTGTCGTTGTCGTTAGTCCGGCGCGGAGTATCGCAGCAACGTTGGCGGCACTGCATCGGGCCGCGAACGGGAGAGAGTGCGCTTTTTGGCGTGCATCGCGTCGCTAGTCCGTGTGTGGGACAACTTGCTGCTTCCACCGAGAAGCTTGTTTTAAGCTTCGGCTAGTGGATTTAAGTTTAACACTTTTCTTCTGGTAATAATGATGGCGGGCATTATGATTTATTACAAAACAATATCGACGGAATTAACGAGAAACAAAAGGTAATTATAATCAAAAATTATTATAATTTAAAAAAAAGCAAATTTCAAGAAATATGAACATCAAAATTTCCGATGGAAAACAAAAAATTTTTAGTTTTAAAAATAGTAAAATAAGATAAATAAAATGATGGTCCGGAAAAAAATGTTCCAACGATCGAAACATATACTTAAGAATGTTATACACAAACACCAAAGATTTATGAGAACAAGCTATTTTTGCGAACATTTTTCTACAATGGGGAACTCATCATACTATATAATTTACTGTAAAAAAGATTATTAGAATTATTTTTAATAGATCTATATTTCATGTGACAAACTTGACCTTGGATTTTTTAATTATAAGTAGCTTTTTTTTCGCTCATGACATCAGCACTAAATGATGTAAAAAAAAAGACATTACTATAATATTAAATAAAAAATCTAAAATTATCATCATTTAGCAATAATTGCTATAATTTATTATCATACGGACTTGAAGCAGGTAAAAGTATCCTTTTACAACAATTGAATTTTTGTCTCTTACTTTTGCCTTTCGTCTTTTAAATTTGCTATGTTTATATTCTAGAATACTACGGTTTTAAGTTAGTAATAAAAACTTGGGTGAAAAGGAAAAGAGTTAAAAATAACTTAATAATAGGTTGACTTAACATGGCGTTTCCTAAGGACTCTGAGCGTTTTCTTTTAAACTAGTTTTAAATCGCATTAATAAAGCGTAATCTTTTAAGATGTTAAGAACAACTGACGAAATGCTTTATAGTACATTTAAAGATGATACTATTGCTGTAGGTTTAGTGGAATATGATTATACTGCCATGCCAGTTGAGTAAATTTTTTTCGTGGTTTTCAATATCGTCAGATATTTAAGGCAAAAATTTATAGAAAACTTTTAAAAAATTTTAATGTAACATTTTCAAAAAGACAAAAAATAAATGCTTGATTACAGCTAAATTAAATTTTTTAATCAATAAGAACTCCTTAAAATTGTAAAAATACACCCTTAGAAATGATTGAAAGAACATAACGTGATTTATGTAATGCAAATATCCATTTTGGTAATAATTTAATTATCCTCAGAGGAAGTTTTAGACGGATTTTTTCAGTTTTAAAAAGTGTTTGTAAAAGCATGATTATGTATAAGGTATTTAATCATCATATCTTTAGTCATTGTTTGTCTAAAACTTGATGTCAATATTCGTTTGATTGACAAAACGTTTTTAAAATTATTACTAGATATTGGGAAAAGAAAAATCAAATCATTGTTAAATGACTCCATAACAATTATACTTACTTTTTAAATAATAAAATTCTTAAATCATGTAAAAGGAGTAATAGAAACATGTTGCACCATAGATTATGCTACTCACAAGGGTGTTGATAAATCTGATGGTGATATTTATATAAATATTCCAATTGAATTTTTTAATACCATTCGTAAAGGCTTATTTCCGCATGAGCCTTATTTAAACATTGTAACAATTGTAATGTTTCTACGAAATTTATGTATAGTAAATGGCTTACTTAACGGTACAAATTCTTTCCGAAAACAATTTCTTTTAGTCTTAGCCTTTTCTATGACTGGAAGTAAATGTTAAGGTTGAAGTTTCAATAATAATAAATTATTTTTGGACCAACCACTATTTTTGCATAGTCAATTATACGTCGCGCTATCAAGATGCAAAAATGGAAATAGAAATTTTATTTAAAGAGAACGTGATAACAATTTGAAAATAGAAAATTTTGTTTAGAAAAAAATTTTTGTGGTTAACTAATCCAAAATAGCTAAATAAAAATTAATTTTAACATATTTGCAAAAGAATGAAATTGTATGTAATATTATGGCACAGTTCATTTAAATAATCAATGAATGTACGAAATCAACAAATTTATTATGTAAGTTTTGTTTCATGACATAAGAAGGTAAATTTTTATTATCAATTTATACTGTTTACTTTTATTAAAAAACAAAATTATGCTGTAATATTTTATACAGATATCATTTTTACATATACCGTTTAGTATTATTAGATATCATTAGTTTAAAAAAAATGTTTTTTTTTAATTACTCATCTATTTAGAAAAATAAAATTTTTCTTAAAAAAACATTAAATTAGAACACAAGTACTCATGTATTACAATAATATGTACATCAGGTTTCCGAATAATATGAAGTTTTTATTGCAAATTTTTATTTATTTTTTTCTTTCATTATTGTACGTTGCGCTTTATGTAGGTTAGAAGCAAAAAGGTAGAACTTTACTAAAATATTTGACGTACAATCACAAGGGAATGATGATTTTTATTTTCCCATGGTAAATAGGGCTACGAGCGAGGTCCACGGTTTATATATTTTATAAAAATGTTTGTTGTTTTTTGATTTGGTATAAAGTTTTCATGTCATATTCTGATACATATTCACTAATGCAATTAATAATCTTATTGAGAATTTAAGAAAAAAATCAGTGTGCCATAGAACTATCTTAAAGGTGGTGTGGAAGTGTATTAACAAATTATATAGATAAAATAATTATTAAGGAAGTGGTAACGAGGGCCGAACGAGTACTGGAGTGACGCTGAGATAATGTGGTTAGATATTGTTGGGGGGCTAAGCAGAGTTTTTTTATAAAGAGTAAGGAAAGCTGAGAGAAGGAATGCAAATAGTAATTTAACTAAAAATGACATAATGACGAATATAATCTTGCTTCCCAGAAAACACATTTTCTCAAGATTTCTTGTAAATGTCTTATAGGCTTTAACTATTCATCTGAAAAACATTTTTCGAAAATTTTACCTCCAAAATCCTACAAAGATGTCTTTTGAGTGGACATTAAAAGTCTACAAGACATCTACAAGAAATCTTGAGAAAATGTGTTTACTGGGTTTATTATTTATAAAAATGCAGCTAATGGGTGGCTTAAAAATATTCTTTAAAATTGTGAGGAGGCTTATTAGATTATCCAGTGATTGGCTTATTAACCATGAAAGTATCGCTTAATTTAAATAAGTTAAGTAAATAACCAATCACATCCAGCTCTATTATAACCATCAAGAGACAAAACTGTATGTTCTTAATTTGACATTGAGAAAATAATTTATATTATCCTGTTATAAGACCCAATTTGGTCAGCAACTCCCCCCCCCCTCTTCAACCCTAAAATTTTTTAATATTTCTCTTGGCTCTCCCTTAAAATAAGGTAATAATCTTGATATTTCTTACTTATTTAAACCTAATGAAAAATTTTATTTTTTTCTAGATCTACCTTGCTATCCCATCACCCCCCTTAGCCCCGCCTCATAATTCTGAGATGTTCTCTTGTTTCCCTC